AGCCATTCTGACTCCAGACCTTTGCTGTTTGAAGATCATTGCGTAGTCAAACCCAGCCAGTTTACAACAAGAACTCAAAGACTGACATCCTGTTGCTTTTTTACACAGTCAGAAGGCAAGAACCATAATATTCACTCACTTCCAGCTGAATGATTAAAAAGTTCCCACTACAATTATTAAACATGCTAAACCAGCAGACTCCAGCTTTACTGAGAATCACAGCATCAACTCCTTAAAACTGCTGACTGGAAGTGAGTGGATGGTACACCATCTGTCTTCTGCCAATGTAGCTGCGGAACAAGATTCTAGCAAAAATATTTCTTGCAGTGGAGCAAACAATATATTTACCTTTCTAAAAAACTACAGTTTTACAAATTACAAAATATCCTATCATCATGTACATGTAGATTGTCAACAAACAAGTCAGAAATAAAGCTAGATATTTTGTACCTAATTTATCTTTGAATCATTTAGAACAGGAATAGGCAATTTGGTGCACCTCACATAACATCTCCCATATGGGCCAGAAATTCTGGATATTGCAGTAAAAAACAAATGGAATGCATCAGATTGCCTTTGCTATTATAAAGATACATTTGAACTTGTTTGTGCGTCCTTATACTGAGGGTACTTTTTTTTCCTAAAAAAAATTAGCAGTAAATTGACATGGGTTACTCTCAAGCAGACTTGATCTTTCTATAAAATAAGTATTGATAATAATTAGCACTTACTTTCTCTCTCCCTTTCTTCTCTCATGAATAAACAGATAAACAAAAACTTCCAAATCTCCATAGTTTCAAACCTGACCTTTTTCGCAAGACTGTTTGATATTAGTTGCAGTATAAAGTAACATTAGTATCCATCACAGCTTAAGTAAGCATGCATCTTTTCTGTTATTGTGTCAATGTCATACTGTATTTGCTTTTTCTTAGCTTAGGAGATCATAATAAAAGGACTATCATTCATTTGGTCTAGTTTATAAGATTACAGCAGCTGTGCAATAACTACAATTAGCCCAAGACAACTATGTGCACTAGTAGTCATTTCACAGAATGAGCTCTCTTTGAATGCAGTAATCATCCATGAAAATAAGCTGCTGAAAACAATATACAGATCATTTCAACTAATGAGCTAGACTCAAGACAAACAAATCAGTCCAAGAAAGAGATCATAAATTACCATGCAACCAATCTTGTTAATTGCTTCATAACAGACAGTACCAGAAACCTTTATGTACACAAAGAAAGTTAGAGGACGATGACGTATTTCTACAAAAATAATATCTGGACAGAAAACGCTTTCCATATATAAAAACTGCTGACAAGTCCATTCTTGAAAATCAGCACCTTTCATATTTAAAATCTGCTTTGTCTGTATTAAAATTAAAGCCAAAATCATGGTTTGCTCTGCTTAAAATAGAAGTTGCACTAGTTACCTGTCAAAAAGCTGGAACCATTTTATTTTTATCTTATTTCATGAAGGTTTTAAAAGATCTAGATTAATTTGGTAGGAACAGATTACTTCTCTTCAAAAACAAAAAAAATGACTCTAAAGACGTCATGTACATCATGACACCCAAGTTAAAGACTGAAGAACAAGAGGTAGCCCACTTCTAGCAAAAATAAAAATAATTTTAAAAACCAGTACAAGCATCCCTAAAACAAGAAAAAGAGCAGCTTGCTACTTTTTACATAAACAATCCTTGGCCAGTTATACTTGCTTTATTGACTCATCCAAAAGAGTGGATTCTAACATTTATGCAATTTTAATACACAACAAATTTGCTGACACTGGAGATATCAGGCAGGTACAAGAAAAATAATAGGAGATGAATGAAGGACAATAGAGAACGATGTGGTCAAAAGACCTAATGAAGACAGTTTAGTCAAAAAGAAGGGAGAATAATATCAGGCTTATAAACTGATGGTATATGACACCAATCAAACTCAGCTATATCCACAGAAATCTAACAACAAATTTCTGGAGAAAATTTGGTGGCCTTGGGAACATATATATTCGTGCAGTAGGAGCGCCCACTGGTTAAAAAGTTGTTGGAAAATATATCTACAAAAGCTAAATGAATTGCAGGTCAGATTATATGAATATCCTGAATACTACCATCATTATCAATTTACCAAAAAAGTAATGAAAGTTTACTGTCTAAAGACTTCATTACATTTTGTTGGGTAGCTGCAAATTTTGAAATCACCAAGAACATGAAAATGAACAGCCAATCTCCCTCCAACAATGGAAAACACAAATATGGACCATAGCATTGACAAACTGAATGAGAAAAAAAACACATCACAATTAAGGAGAAAATATCAGGAATATATTCTAGAACCAAAATTTGGAATGTTAGAAATTCAGAATTTCTGAATATTTGGAACTCCATTACAGTCAATATTAAAATTATATGGTCGTGATATTCCCCTTTAAGAAACACAAGAATTGTAAAAGATTTCTGTGTCCTCTGGCACTTTCCCAGAGGAGATTGTGCCAGCAGTGCCTAGAAAATGACTGCCACGAGCATCCTGATTGAACCCCAAACAGTGGGAATGCCAGCAAGAAATGCCAGCAACATTGGGGAAGCAGAAGACAGGATGCACTGGAGAGTGGGCAAATACTCTGGCCAGCACTGACAGACGGATTGAAGCAGCAGATAGCCTGTGGTGGGCAGGAACTGTGCCAGCAGCATGGAGCACAGTATAATTGAGCACAATCTTGGACTAGCAGTTGCAGAAAGGAAAAGAGGCAAAAGGAGGGGTAGGAGACTGAAGCAGGGCATACCTAGTACTGTCAGCAAAGTGTGTCATTCTCTCTTACTAAACAGGACTCCAGGGAAGTCCAGCAATAGTAGGTTGACCTTAAGGAATACAGGTTTTTCTACAGATCCAGATTCCAAGTGTGAGCGGCGTTGTCTGACAATGTCTCCTGTTTGAGGTAACACTCTGTTATTGGGCATACAATTGGTGGGCAAGACAGCACTCCCACCACCACCTTGGTCAGACCTCCCCAAACAGGCTCTTCCTTGGCTCAGTAAGACAAGGGATCAGTCTCTTTTGGCTTGCAGGGCACCTCTGCAATGTCCTTCCTCTGAGGTGGTCTCTCTGGAAGACAGGCTCCTACCATGCTTGTCAAGACAATGCCCAATAAAGCTTGCCTTGTTGATGCAGAGATGAGGGACCTGGACTCTAGAATACAACCGATGGTACTGCTGTTTGGGGTGCTGTGAACATTGATAGTTTCTTCCTACTCTGTGTGACTCCCTCAGTGCTATCCAGATCTTTTTCACTAGTTGCTCCTGACTGTGATGGAAAGTTGCCTGGCATTGCCCTCCATCCCCATCTTGCTGCTGCTTAGTATCCATTACCTGTTGTTTGATTCAGGGTTCAAGAGGAATGCTACAATGCACTTCTACTTATTTCACAAGGAGCAAACCTGCAGTGAAGCAGGTCCAGGAATCCTTGGACCTGAGAAACCACCACATGTTCTAGCGCTTTCCCAGAAACTGAATATTTGAGACTGGCCAATAGCTGTCTATTAAGTGAGATTCAAAGAGGTGTTTTTCCCCCCAATAATGGTCTTATTATTGCCCCTATTAAAAATGCTGAGATTCTATCCTGCTTCAAGAAAACATTCCCTGTTCCTTTAACCCACTCAGCCAGTTCCCCTTTAGCTGCTTTTATAAGCCAGAAAGGGCAAAAATCTAACAAACATTTGGTGGCTTTTACCACCTCAGGCTGCACCAACTGAATACCCAATTATAATGAGAAAAGCAGGAGCTAAAGTTACATCCACAGATACTTGTATCAACTACAGCCTCCATGTCAAAGCAGACTGAAGTGGTTTGCCTGCAAAGTGCTGTTCAAATTCCTCACAGTGGGAACAGCAACTACTAAAAATAAATTATAAACTAATGTAATATGAATTCTTAACACCACAAGAAGCAAAAGACTTCGGATGTTGTTCTCAACATCCAAACTCAAGCAGTAATATTGTCCCTCATAGACTACAGCATTATTTTATTAATTGGTGTCCACCATCTTGGTTTCTTTCTCTGAAAAATGTGTGGCACTCCACATATTGGATAATTCCTATCCAGCTCTGACCACTGGCACTTCAGATGCCTTTTAATTTATTTCACCTTTGGCAATCTTGTTGTTGTTGGTTTTTTAACAGAATACCTTCTTGTGCCTTCTTCCTAAATTCTTAAAAGCTCAGATTGTATAATTCAATTTTTGGTTCCTTAAAATTCTGTTCTGAGTATTAGAATCTGTACCTTCCAGTTCTTGTAATACCAAGGTGAATGTACGAGAATGTTGTTCATGAGCTCAGTCTTATCTCTCATTTTGTACTGATTCAATGCAACATGCCCATTTCTTTAACTGCTTCAGAAATGCTGGATGCTAGCCTGCATCAACATGACTAACATAATTCTTATATCCTTCAATGGGCCCTGATGCATCATTTTAGAATGTAGTATTTAGAATGTAGTATTGTAGGACAAACACTTTTTCTGGAAAGAGGATACAGTATCGAACAGATTCCTTTCTTTGCAAGTGATAAAGCTTCTAGGTAGAGATGTTAGTTATTATAAAATATAGCATAAAGAACACCAATGAAACAGATACATTGGCTTTCAGTAACTGAGTATCTCTAATAAGTAAACTGTGTGGAGAGAGTGTGATTTATAACTTTAAAATCTGCATTTTAAGTAGCTTCACGATCACAACCAAAGTAATCTGTGACTGCCACATCTGCTCAGTCAACAAGATGTCTCCCTAAGTGTGCATTGCAGGTGGACTGCTAATGCTTGGCTGCCTACTTACTGCAAATCACAATGGAATGTAACAGGAATGCTCATTCAGATTCTTAAGATCCTTATGATATCTTATTTCAGTCAGAGTAATCCTAAAGTTTTCTAAATAGCTTGCATACAAATATAATTCAAGACAATAGCATCTTGTTTAAGACACTACTTTTTATGTTTCTTTTACCTTCTACTATAAAATTCCTTCCTGAACAGCAACAGGACAGTTTTGAGTTGGAGTTGCTCCTTTGAAAGAGTCTGCCACAATAATCCATCTTCTTCTCTGTCTACCTTGCTGAGATTATGCCATCATTTTATCGGCAATCAGGATCTGTAACCACAAGAATACATAAAAAATAGACAATATCAGCTTTAATATGAACTTGCAAGTACTGATTCCAAACATAAGACATGCCGATGCAGTACAGTATATGCAACCTTTGACAACTACAGGGAAGCACATTATATTGTTTACACTTAGGAACTTTAATTTATCAACTACTTATAAGTTATGTGGACATAAACTTTGACATATCAAGCATGTACTTGCATGTTTTGCATCATGCAAACCATGGATATACTCCATGCACGGAATTATAGGACAGAAAGTCATCTTGTCACAATCAAATCTCTTTCTATGCCCTTGGACAAGAAAAATTATGCATAACACACTTGTGTTATTTCTTTTAGCACTGGATTCCCAACAGCAATATTTCTACAGTTTTCCTTGATACCCAGTTTGGACCCCTTACATCACAATACAGTGAGAACATGTTGCCCATTTTTAATCAAGTTGGGCAATGTTTCCTAAGGTTTATGCTCAATCTCTTTAACCCTTCAGGACAATGCATATAGATTGATACAATTAAATTATAAAGGGGTGAATTTGTTGTTATGTGGCCTTAAATTCACTCTGAATTACAGAAACCCAACTAGAGTTTTTAGAGTATGTGGAATGTTGAAGCTATATCATCACCACCCATTGAATTTCTATGGCTGTGTAAGAATTTGAATGCAGGTTTCCTGAATCCTAATCAGAGACTCTGTCTAATACAACACACTGGCCCTATTTTCCCAGTAAGACTGTTCAATTTGTACTACTTGAGTTCTCAGTGAATAAAAATCTGTTTTGTTTTGGCAACAGAAACCAATGTCTTGAATCCAAGAGCTATCTACAACTGCAATTTATATAGGCATCTATTTTGCCCCAAACTGAAATGTAACCTTACATGAGAGCACCTCATTTCGTTGCACCCACTTGTGAGCACAATGACAAATAAATTTCTTATGTCTTATGTCTTATGTCTTATGTAACAACACAATTTTAATTTCTGAAAACTATCTTCTGTCAAGCTAATGCTCATCTATACCCTAGGGTCAGGCCATAAAACTGAGTGCAGATCCACTTACAGAGGTGCAGAGATCCCTCATCCCTTTCCTCTAGTAATCTGTTATATTCACTTTGCCAAGAAAGAAGTACCTTGCTCTGACGCCACATAAAACTATGTATATGTTATAGTACCATGACAACAGCAAATATGAAGCAGAGAGGGTTAACAACGAGCCCTATAGATTGTTAGTTCTCAGTGTGCTATTGTCCAGTTATTCAGAACCTCCGTTTCCTGAAACTCAAGCCAGGATAGATAATGATCAAAAATTCTGGGAGGGGAAATCCCAAAGTCTGGGAGGGTCAAAGACTGGGAACCAATGCTATACATTTTTCTGTGATCTTAAGGGACATGAAAAATGGTCCAAATATCTAATGTTGGCAAAACCATGCACCAGCCCGGAGGCAGATGAGACTGAGCTAGACAGCTGTTTCTCTTCCTTCACTTATGACACCATGCTAGGAGTGCACCACAAATGTTACAGCTAGGAAATAGGTCAGACAACACTTTAGATAGGAGTTTCCCAATTTAGGTTTATTCTTAGGGCAAACAGAGTCATATCACAACCTAGCATTTTAGACTAGGGCACTTTTATTTATTAAGTTATATATTTCCAAGCAAGTACAGTAATCTAATATCTATTTTGTATAGCTCACAAAGGATTTGGTCAATTCATGCTATTGATATGCAACCAGCACATAATCACAGCTTAAGTTTCATTAAGTTTTAAGGGAAGGGAACTTCAGTAAGGTTTACAGTTCCTGACTCATAAAAATAACATATTAGATCAATACACAATTCCTGCATCTGTTCTAATCTTGAAAAAAATCTGACATTAAATTGTACCTTAATACATATTTTAGATAAAATAAAAATATATATCCTGACTTTAACTATTAATGCAACAGTAAGCAGTTGTTCTATTTTGCACTTTTAAACTATGATGTAAAAGAGTTGCCATGACTGTACATATTCATGATCTGCTAATATATCAGATCTGGTACACCTTGAATAAAATGGTTTGCCCAGCATCACACTGTAAATGGGTTTTTAAAATTTGTCTTTACAAATAAAGCAATTATTTGTTGAACAACCATAGTACTGTATACACGCTTATTTGGAAGTAAGTCCCAGTGCATTCAATAGGGCTCACTTCCTAGTCAGGATGTCTAGGACAACAGCTGATTTGGCAATTACTAGTACACCCCTTTTTCTATACACAACAAAATTAAACCAAGGTATTAACCCAGATCAATAAATGCGGAGCTCAGAGAGGATATGTTATCGTTGTGCACGCCTTTAGAAAGTTAAAGATAAAATGTTCATGAACTTCTTCACATCTACTGAGCCACATGCTACTGCTTTATTTCTCAAGGTCACTGTTTTACCTCTTTCCAAGATCTAGTAAGGGACTTAATGGCTCCCAGATGTGGAGATGTTACAAAGAAAGTAATACATATATAAAGAGGCTGTGCTTTCTGCAAAGTCCTATGTAACAAATAAAAGGATTCTAATACATTTGTAATTATTGGGTGGGGAAGCTACAGTATTCCAGACGTTGCCGAGCTACAACTTCTATCAGTCATGGCCAGTATGGCCAAATGTCAGACTGGTGAGGACTGAAGTTCAACATCTGGAGAGTCACAACCCTCCCTTACTCTAGAATAAATTAAAGTACAAGACTGACTGCTGACTGTTGGAACTCTTGCATATAAAAACAATATTTCTGTATCTTTTAAGTCAGTAGTTTTCAACCTTGGGTAACCCTGGTGTTTTTGTACTGCATTTCCCAGATGCCTTCATCAATACCTGTGCTGACCAGGATTTCGGGGAGTTGCAGCTCCAAGAATGCCTGGGTTACCTAAGGTTGGGATCCACTGCTTTAAGCTTATTTCTCCTCTAGTTCTTAAAGTGTCCAGATTTCATATGTATAGGACATATCTACTGAGGGACCAAACAATATTAAAGACTGTGCTTGCATTCCACTCCAGATATTTTATCTTAAAAGAATGGGACTTGAACCTTCTCAATAATTCCCTGCTTGTGGCTACATGGCTGAACTCAGGTAGTAAAAATGTGCTTTCCAGCCACAAACAAGACTGGCTCTCTCTGTTGTCACCAGCACTCTTAACCTACAGTAGAAACAGTCTTTGCTCTTGGTCTCCAGCTAACATCCTCTTCCAGCCTCAAGCAAGAATCTGTGTAAGGAACTTTCGCCATCTTGACCTCTTCCATTGAATTGGGATGCTGTAAGCTTCTCTTATCCCTACCTAGCCAAATTTTCTCAGCATTTAATATTTAATATTAAATGTGTTTAATATTTACAGACTAGTTTGCAGTGGATGATGGATCTGAGAAAAAAAAATCAGAATCCAGTTGAAAATATGATTTTAACATGGGGCATGCACTTGCCATCTCTCTTACACATACCTTCTTTATCAGAACTGACTCCCCAAAAAACACAAAAAAACAGGATGGAGTACATAATATTAATCTCTCACATAAAATTCTCACATGGATGAAACTTATTTTTTTAGTGCGGTCTTCACCACAAACTAATCCCAAGAGACAAAATTTCCACAAAATTAGGGTAGACGGGAGCAGACATTACCAACACTGTTCAAACAACTCATACTACTGCTTACTGCAAAGCAGCCTCTTGTGTAGACTCCTTAGATCATATGAGACTCACTCTCCATTGAAATTTCCAGCTTTATGGCAAGGAGTGTGATCTGTAGCACAACCTCCTCCTATTACATTAGCCTCCAATTACTTAAGAACAATCTCTCTCTCCCCCCACCTGCAACACTATTCCCACAGGCAAAACAGCCAGTTTTTTTGAAGCCAGGTTTTCCAGTCCAAGCACAACAGTAGCCAAAAATGTTGCTTAGCACAGTAAATTGTATTGCTGTAGGTCCACTGAATCAATGGGGATATAGTGAGTCAACTCCTCCATATGTTCTGTGAATAATGAGTCTACTCTAACTGGACATTACTATGCCTGTACATTGCAACTAGAGTAAGCTCGTTTGAATCCATGGAACTTACAAAAGAGTTGATTCACCAATCCCCAATGATTCAATAGGTCTTTGCTGTTGTTACATTCTGTCAAGTTGTCTCTGACTTATAGCAATTGTATGAATGAAAGCTCTCCAAAATGTGCTATCCTCAACAGCCCTGCTCAGTTCTTGTAAACTCAAGCTTCTAGCTTCCTTTACAAGGTTAACCCATCTCATATTTGGTCTTCCTCTTTTCCTGTTTCCTTCAATCTTTTCCAGGATTATTGTCTTTTCCAGAGTATCTTGGTGTCTTGTAATGTGCCCCTGTTCCAACATTTTTGCCTACAAAAATAGTTCAGCTTGATTTTATCTAGGATCCATTTGTTCACCTTTCTGGAAGTCCACAAAGTTCTCCCCCAGCAGCGTATTTCAAAATAAGATCTTTTTTTTTCCATCAGCATTCTTTACTGTCCACTTTCACATCAATACACAGTGATCAAGAATACAAGAGTGTGGATAGCCTTGGTGGAAAGTGACACATCCTTACATTGGTGATCTTCTCCAATTCCTTCATTATTGCCCTTCCAAGTCTTAGTCTTCCTCTGATTTCTAGACTGCAGCCTCCAATTGAAGTGATGATTGAACCAAGTTATACAGATTCACTATTTCAGTTTCTTCATTGTCAACATTAAAGTTTTGTAATTCTTCTGTAGTCACGATTTTAGCTGTCCTAATCGTAGAAACCTTCCAGCAGAGCTGGAAGGGACCCTATGGCACATCGAGTCCAGCCCCTCACAAAGAGGCACGGAGGGGGGGGGGAAACAAACCCCCCAACGTCTACTCTGGTGCAATTTACCACGCTAAGCAACAAGTTTCTGCCCACTGTATACTTCCCATAATGACTCTGGGAACTCCTCCCGCCTTCCTCACCAGCCCAAGTGCCTACACACACACGCACAGACACAGTCACAGCCCAGGGCCCATAAGCTTCATAAACACCGGATTTCTGACAGTGAAAACCTCGGCATTCCTACTCGGGAAAAAAAGACTTTCCGGCCTCAACAACGGGCGACTGTGTCCCGGCACCCTCTGCCTCCCACCCCTTCCCCACAAGCTCTAGCCTCACACACCACGGCCCCTCAGATCTGCGCTCGCCCGTCCTTCGCGGGATGCCGGCGCCCCTTCGGCCAACAACGCCACAAACACAACCCCCCCCCCGATACCTCAAAACAAAATACACGCCCGCCCTTCAACGTCAGCCGCCCCGGCCCTTCCCTGACGCCCCAGAGGCCCCACGTGCACCCACCGTTGCGCACCTCCTGCTAGGCCCTGTTCGGAACCAAACCTCCGCTACGCAACGGAGCCCCGTTGTTTTCCCCACTCCGCCCGCCCCCCGCAACTCCGCTCGCTCGTCCGTTCGCCTGCTTCCCCGACCTCCTCCTCACAGCCCCAGCCCCCGGAAACACGGCAGCTTCCCCCCTCCCGGACTGAGAGACTGAAAGAGGCGAAGCATCCGGAAAGAGCTCTCTCTCCGGTCCCCTCTAGCCACAAAGACAATTGGCCGACTCTATGGTTCGCTCTCCTTCGCCTGAGTCCGGAATGGAAAGACAGGAGGTGTAGGTGTGGGAGGGGAGTGGGCGTGGCCATTGTTGGTGGGTGTGCCGGTAGCGGGGCGGGGCTTCTGGGTACGACGTGATTGTTGCCTGGGTCTCTATCTAAATATGTCTCTTTAAAACTATGAGCTCATTAAACTTATTTGGTACTCACTGTAAACGTGAGGAGGAATTAAAGAACCTCTTAATGAGGGTGAAAGAGGAGAGCGCAAAAATGGTCTGAAGCTCAATTAAAAAAAACCACTGGTCCCATCACCTCCTGGCAAAGAGAAAGGGAAGATACGGAGGCAGTGACAGATTTTACTTTGTTGGGCTCCATGTTCATTGCAGAGAGTGACAGCACCCACGAAATCAAAAGTCTGCTTCCTGGGAGGAAAGTGATAACAAACCTAGACAGCATCTTAAAAAACAGAGACATCCCCTTGCTGTCAAAGGTATGGTTTTTCCATTGAATACACTGAAACCTGATTAGTGTTCAGTGTGTTCACAGCATTATACACCCTCATTCTTACGTTGCTGGCCCATCTCAGGTCAAACAAGTTAGTTCTGAGTGCTTATAGAAAGAGGTATCTTGTGCTTTTCTTTCTTTCTTTCTATCTATCTATCTATCTATCTATCTATCTATCTATCTATCTATCTATCTATCTATCTATCTATCTATCTATCTATCATCTATCTATCTATCTATCTATCTATCTATCTATCTATCTATCTATCTATCTATCTATCTATCTATCTAACATGCCGCCCACACTACCCAAAGGTCTTACAATTTAAATACAATAAAAAGATAAAACAATTAAAATGCAATTAAAAATACAGTGCTCTAAAAATTACCATCAGGACCCATAGTTGATATTATTTCAATTAAAAACCTTCTGGAACAGGCACCAAAACATCGTCGGCGCCAGACGTATCTCCCTCGGGATGGTGTTCCATAGTCTTGGGGCAACTGCCAAAAGGGACTTTTGTCTACAAGCCATCCCTCTTACCTCCTTGAGGGATGGCTCTTTCAGGAAGGCCCCCTGGCTAGATCTTAATTGTTAAGTAGGTTCATATGGAAGAAGGTGCTCCTTCAGGTATCCAGGCCCAAGCCATCTAGGCCTTTATACGTCAAAACAAGGACTTTGAATTGGGCCCGGGAGCCATTGGTAGCCAATGTAATTTAATCAGAATTGACTTGATATGTCCCCTAGTGGCCCCACCACTCACCAGCCACGCAGCTCAATTCTGGGCCAGTTGCAGTCGCCAGACCGTCTTCAAAGGCAGCCCCACGTACAGTGCATTGCAATAATCTATACAAAATGTTATCAGTGCATGTGTAACTGTCATGAGACTCCGCTCGTCCAGGTAGGGCCATAGGTGGTATTTTCCACAGCTGAAGGAAGGCACCGAGTCCACCTGGGCTTCCAGAGTTAGACTGGGGTCCAGGAGCACCCCCAGGCTGCTTTGTGAGGAGGCACCTATTGGCTCGATGTTACTAGCAGTGGCAAGACTCACTTGACCACTAGGCAGGGTGAAAGGATTCAAGGCAGAGGGTAGCAGCAAAGTGGAAGACCCCAAGAACTGTCTGAGCCCTGCTAATTGAAGCCGACACCCAAAAGCCAGGGTTCTGCCTGTGAAGTACTCTCAGAGCATATGAAGAGTGCATTTGTCATCATCAATGATGAATACAAATATGAACTGCATTTCTGCCCCACAGTTCTACTAGAAATAGCAGTCAAGATGCCTTACAAACATCACAAAACAGAATAAAAACGACCACTGGAAAACCAATTCACCAATAAAACAGTAACAGTCAGATCAAAAGCAGAACCAGATATAAAATCATTTAAAAAGAATGTGAACAAAACACAAGTCTCTCTCCCCCTGTAAAAGCAGAGTCAATTAAACCACAAATACCAGCCACAAACAGAAATGCTAAAAGTAAAGCTTCCATTCAAAGGTTTCTAGTTACGTGCCAGTCCAGTCAACAAACATAATTCATGGGGAAACCTGCACGCACACACCTTCACTCATGACTTACTTGGACCTTTCACTGTAACTTTCAGTTCGCTGCTGCCAGCTCCTTTTGTGTAGTCCTTGAAATCTGCCGTCTCCTTCACCCGGACCCCCTTGGGTTGAAGACCTCAGCCCACACCTCAGCAAGCATTGGGGTTGCAGGCCTGGCCCCCACCTTTCTCCTTAATATAGACCCCAAATGGCTTGCATCATGAAAAGACAATATTTAAAGCTAAAAAAACAGAAAATATACAAATACTGAAACAAGGATTAAACAAATACCACTCTACAAACCAGTAAACAAATGCACCAGCAAAAACATAATCAAAGCACTAGGGCACAACCATCTAAAACCCCACTTAGACAGCCAGTCGTTAATCATTTATGATTAAGATCATAAAACAACACTTGCTTTCACCAGTGTTCATGCAGAAAAGCCGTCATGCACAGAGGCAAAAACACATTAGGTGTCCACATGATACATACTCGTAAAACTGAATCCAGCATTTCACCAGACAAGAACAGCTTTTGCAACCTGAATAATTATAGTTGACCCACAATCTTAGTTCTGGGGAAGAAACTGGTTTTTCCAGTTCTTGTATAATCTTTATTGCAAGTTTCTAAGCAACTTCCTTCAATTCTTCAACTTTTTAAAGAAAAAGAAAAAGAACAAAAAAAAGTGGTCTTAGCCTTGTTTTGTGTAGCACTTTTAAAATTTAACTCATGTAAAGACAGGACATAAATAACTCAAACAGCAATAATTTACATGACAAAGTCAGTTACCACTTATGAAGATGAAGGTGGGTGATAGCTTTATTAGACTACTACTAGGATTTTATACACAGAGGCTAGTTTTCAACTCTGCAGGAGTGTTCATCAGGCTGGGCATTATACAGCTGGTAAAAGTTCCAAGATGCACGGCCAGATGTGTGGGCCAAGCTTCCTTGTTCAAAACAAGTTCCAGATTGGGTGCTTTAGAATCCACTCAGAGAGGACAGTGTTCAGATTTCACCTTTCGTTATGTGGACTGGAATATCTAAAACTTGTTTGAGAAAGAGCTGTCAGCCACATCACATTCCCCAAGTTACAGAATTTTTAATTTCTGTTTAAATTCCTCTAGCTGCACAGAAGTCCAGTGATTTACAGGGCAGAGGAACTTCAAGTTCCCCAGATTAGTCCACTCCTTCTAAATTTATTTATTTATATTTTTTTCTACTTATACGCTGCCTTTCTCCCAATAAGGGGACTCAGGGTGGCTTTTCTTATTAACTGGCACTTATAGAATAACACATTCTGAGACATTTGTTAAAAAAAAAAAAGAATGCAGCCCAAACAATAATTACATTCCAAGACCTGGATAAAAGCTTAATAAATAATGAAAAAGCAAATGTAGCACTTTGCATTATGAGTATTTATATGCCAGAGATCAGGATTAGGGCAGCCTTAGAGCTTCTGGACAGCAGCTTCCAAAATTTCTTATTACTCTATTGGCATTACTGGCTGGAGTTTATGGAGGCTGGAGGAACTGGGAGCTGAAGTCTAAAACAACTACAGTAATGTATTGCAGGCTCCTCACCCCTTGTCTACAGTATTGTGCATGCCTTTGAAAGTCTTTGCTTCTGCCTTCTCAAAACACAGCAAAATACAGAAACCCAGACTAGATTCAAAGGAAGGAGAACTGAAAATTGGTAGAAGAAACAAAAATCATTTAAAACACACAAATGACACCATCTTACTGATAGAAAGTAGTAATAACTTGAGACAACTGTTAGGGAAAGTGAATGAAGAAAGCGGGAAAGCAAGGCTGCAGTTGAATTTTAAGAAGACAAAAATAATTACTATAGAAGAACTTTAGCATTGATACAACTTTAATACTGACAATGAAGAAATTGAAATAGTTAGAGATTTTGTATACAGCCAAGAAATTAGAAGAAGATTTAGACTCTAAAGGAACTAGAAAAGATCAGTGTAAGAATGTGTTACTGGAGACCTAAGCCAAGATCATCCACTATTGCATTCCAAATTACTATGTATGGCTGTGAGAGCTGAGCAGTGAAGAAAGCTAGGAAGACATTTGATTAATTTGAAATATGGTGCTGGGAGAGAGCTCTACAGATACAGGAAATTAGAAGAAGATTTAGACTCTAAAGGAACTAGAAAAGATCAGTGTAAGAATGTGTTACTGGAGACCTAAGCCAAGATCATCCACTATTGCATTCCAAATTACTATGTATGGCTGTGAGAGCTGAGCAGTGAAGAAAGCTAGGAAGACATTTGATTAATTTGAAATATGGTGCTGGGAGAGAGCTCTACAGATACGGTGGACTGCCAGAAAGATAAAAAAGTGGGTCCTAGATAAAATCAAGCCTCAGGTCTCTCTAAAAGCAAAAATGACAAAACAGAGGGGGTCTTACTTTGAGCGTATTATGAAAAGACAAAACTCTATGGAAAATACAGTTATGCTAGGAAATACTGAAGGCAGAAGAACAGGAAGACTGAATATGAGATATATTAATACAGTTATGCTAGGAAATACTGAAGGCAAAAGAAGAACAGGAAGACCGAATATGAGATAGATTGACTGCATAAAGAAAGACACAGGTAGCAACAAGAGCTAGTTTAGAACCAAAAACTCCCTGTAGACAATAGCAGTAGTGAAAAGAAGGTAGATTTGGATCTACTGTAGGTCTCTAGGTTATTTGTAACACAACTAAAAGTGTTTCTGCGTCTGAATGGTTAACATGAGAAACAAAGAGTGCTTGGAGGAAAACCAAGAGCAGCTTTTTTGTGACTTGTGAGCATGATTCTGTAACTGATTATATTTCCCTGGGCTGAGTAAGTATACCTGTAGTCATAGATATCTTCTTCCTTAATTTTTAACTTGACTGCCTGAGTCGCTTTTTTACATCTGGCTGCAGTTGGTAGATCTCAGGGTCCTATAAAAAACAAAACAACAACCACACACACAAGTAAATCCCGCAAGCCTGAAGTCTGCCCAAATTTGCCCACCAGAATAGACTGGATTAAGGACATTTTTCTATGCATACCATGATATTTGAAAGAAGACCATCAGCTGTACCATTTGGCCACAATCTTGTGATTAATTCACACATTGGTAAGTTAAACTGCATAACTCACTATGGTGAACAGCTGCCAGTCATATTACTAGACCTACAACTGTTGTACAATTAGGTACACCTCTTATAATGCAACTGGTGACTTAGATAGTGACAACACCTTGCACGAGTTATGCAACTTCATTTATGCATGTTTAAATCGCAGTAAGATTTTGGCCTTTGTTTCTGTGATATATTTTGAAACCAGATAGTATCTCCTCCTTACTTGACAAGAAAAAAGCACTGAGCAAAAGGATTTTCTTCTGTTTCGTCATGTTAGGAATACTGTATCGTGTGAATCAGCTTTTAAGACAGCTAAGCAAAAGCAGCAAATCCAGCACTGTGAAAAGAAATACATGTGACCGCAGACATGCAAATTAAGACTAAACCCCAGACTGTATTGTAATATTTTAAACTACCGATTAAAGCTATGTTTCATTAAAGGAAAGGCTATGATACATAGGTACAGTTCTATAGGAGTAGCCCTCTGAAGTAGTGATAAAGCGCTTTTTAATATATAATTTAAATCATTATACATTTTAACTTGCTTGAGCATTGGCGAGACAGCAGAAAATCGTACTGAAAACCACAAAGCATCACAGCACCCTCTGCGGGCTAATTTAACACGCATCAATTGGTGTTACTGCCGCTTTAATACTGAGTCTGCTTCCAATTGGCTGAAAGATTGGAGCATTCCTACATGTCGAAGGCCAGACTTTTTTCCTGATTGGCCGTTCTGAACGCTGCAGGATACTTCCTGGAATGTCTGCAACCCAACGTTCTTCCAGGTCTGTTTCACAAGAAAAGTGGTGGGGGAATCCTCTTTTATTCGATATGTAATTAATAGCCTCGGAAATGTTGGTAAGGAGAACGTCGCTTCTAATAAGCACGTAGGTAGACGGGTATGCCATAATAAGATACGCGCAGAGTTGGCAGAATCCATGTTCCATGATCGGAATAAAAATGCTTGCCATTGTGTTTATAAGTTGTTTTATGGTAGTTTTTAACGCCTTCATTTTTTTTCCCGTTCTGCTATTTATCGTGGGGCAGAAATTTGCTTTTAGAACAAGCATGCCGGGTAATACTGTATCTGCCTTCCACAGAATGGAATCCGACAGCAAGAACTGGAAGACGCATTTTGTTTGTTTTTGGTCGGAAAAGGGGTTGGAGATTAGTTTAAAACATGAGAAGGTATCTTTATCTTACAGTGGTGCTATGTGATCCGTGACCCAAGCAAAGATGCCCCGCTTGTTCTCTTGAAACCGGTTTCCCACGTGCCAACGACCTGTCTGGTGCGCTGTGCTCGAAACAGGTAATAACAGCGTGCAGCCCAACCAAACTGAAGTAGGACTTTTTACAAAATAACCAGGATGTATTTATCATTTTTATCAAAATAATGAAGTGTTAGTCCATGTAATAATAATAACAACAGCAAGAGTCGTGTTTTATGTGTGCCTGGAATTTGGAGATGAATATAAGGGAGGTTAGTTCTTTGTCACCTTTAACCATCCCAAACGTGAAACTGAAGAGAGCAGAGAATCTGGGCTTATCATGCTTTTCCAGTGACTGACAACAGGGCCGATGATTATGTAAGCAGAAAATAAAGGGTGAGAAAATAGGTAACAGATGTGAAAACAGTTCTAAAATGCTATCATTAGTGATTGTGGTCATGTAAGGAATTACAAATCTTGTGGCATTGAAAATTAGTGTCTCTTTAATGAGCTAAAAATATCTCCATTTCAGTAAAAGAGGTTGATTTTTAGCATTTCCGTAAATATAGAAAATGGTATTAATGTGATCAGAGGTATGTGATCTAGCAGTTTTTATATACAAATTCCAAATGCTATGAAGACAAAATCTGGATTTATTTGTGTGCATACAAGTACATACATATTCACAGACATTACTTCTGTGTATCTATATATGTTCCATTTATTGAATTATTAAATTATGTTGTTCACATTAAGATCGGGACAATACAGGAGTAGCCTAAGGTGGCAGACTTGTAAATGATTATTGTGGCTTCTAAAAGGTTTATGGGTATAGTATGCTCCATTATTGTACATCATGGGCAACATCGTGCTTTATGACCATGATTAGATTTTTGTTCAGTTCAAGCACAACATGTAGTTCTGGAAAGGCCATCAGAAACAATCACCATATGGTGGCAACTTAAACTTCATTTAAGGGATATAACATTTCCAAGCTACTTACTGTGTATCTCAGCCCAGTGGCATGGACTGTCTCTATACCAAAAGCTACTAAGAATTTATAACTGAATTTGTCCACACAGTAAGAAGCTTGTCAAGCAACACCTCCCCACCAAGTGGCTGCCACAGGGAAATGTCTTCCTGAGCTCCCCATCTATTGTGTGAGTTGTGTGTGATATGTCAACTGGCTGAACTTGAGTTTCACGTTTAGGTTTCCATCTGGAATGTTTGTAATTAATGTAGATGCAAGTAGCACAGGGCTTTGTAGTGTGCCAGACAAGAAGGTGTATGGGCCTCGACAGGATATAGACTACGTATAGACAAGCAGTGGGGAATTCTGGGCTCTCCAGTTGTTTTGAACTAAAATTCCTATCAGTGCCAACCAGCCAGTGGTGGGTGAGTGCGGGAGGTGCATTTAAAAACTGCCAAAAGAAAGATTCCTTGCACCAAGTACAGAGCCAGGTTTATACATGCTCTTGGCTGCTCCCTGGCTCCACGGATCACAGGGTGGATTTGATTTAAAACAAGATTTAAAAGGGGGGGGGGCAAATGAACTTTTTAAAAATGATTTAAATTTTGAAAAATCAACTTTAAAAATGTAAATTGTAATTACATTGAATCAATTTGATAAAGAAATCGCACCAAGTCATGGCCTGCTCATGTATATAAATCATGTTACTGTGGCATTAAATATCTCATACTTGTCTCCATACTTACCGTATTTTTCTGTTTATAAGACGACCCCCCCTTTCTAACTCCCAAATTAGAAAATTTGCATCCTCAGCCCCCTTTGGTCCTGAAGCCCTTTCATGGCTGCTTTGGGATCAAAGAGGTGTGATCCTGCCGCAGAGCTGCATTACCCACTTCCTAAGCCCCGTGGGGCTTAGGAAGTGGGTAACACAGCCGTGAATGTGAATGGGCCGTTTCACTGGTATCCCTTTGATCCTGAAGCCCTTTCACAGCTGCTTTACCCTGTGGCTTCACAAAAGGCAGGGAAAGCGGCTGCCTTCAGTGTATAAAATGACCCTCAATTTTTTGTCTAATTATTTAAGTAAAAAGTGTCATTTTATACACGGAAAAATACGGTATTTATATTTATTTGCACTTTCTAAACAAATTAGCCATTTCTATTTTAGATGCAAGACAAATTGTATTTTAGATTTGAAGACCCGTCTGTGGGGTTTCCTCACATTTGAAAATCATTTTTTGTAAGTTGGCTGCTTAAAGGTTAGTCACGATTTCTTTGCCATGAGTGGGAGCTTTTGATTCCCGAGATATTTTGGTCATCATCTCCCACAACCTCTGACCACTGTTCATACTCTCTGGAACATTTTTCTATTGCTCAGAACGACAGGAGTCCAAATACTTGTAGAGGGGCAAAGTAATAAGATTTACAAGTGATAGCGCACATTTTAGATTTGGAGGTCAAGTATTGCGGCTGTGTTTGCAAGGGTTCTCCTTCCTCAGTTCTCCTTCCTCTGAATCTATATGGCAGAAACACCTCTACACGAACACAGTGAAATGGCTTTTATTTCATTAGTAGGAAGAGCACAGAATAAAGTCAATAACAGGGACTTGTCTGATGGTTAAAATTGCTACAGCCAGCCCTCTGTTGTTTGTTTGTTTTGCCTGCTTTTTCTTAATAGCTTTCTTTAAAAAAACAATTTGTTCAGGCACCAGAGGTCAAAAGCCATTCAATATGACAACAGAAACATTGGTGAAAGACATCAAACCGGGCTTGAAAAACCTAAATCTCATATTCATTGTGTTGGAAACAGGTGAGTATTCCCTATGCAAGGGTTCACATCTTTAAACTGATGCAGGAAAGTTGGGCAATTGATTTATTTACTGCCTCATAGAATTTTATTAATTGATACAAACTGTTTAATTGCCTTCCCTAATTAATCATCAGTTGCAACACAACATTTTTCTGCTTGTAGCACAAACTTATATATATCTGCTTGGAAGAAATTAAATGGGGTTTACCTCCAGACAAGTAGACTTAGACTTGTAGCCTTAAAAGGACACAGGTAAGGTTCAATGTTCTTGTGGGTATTCATGAATAAGACTGTATGAAATTGGGAAACAGACCGGATTCCAATTTGGAATCTTATTAGAACTTGCAGCTGAATCTAGGTATTGACTCCTGCCTTTATATTATTTATCTATGAATAAATAATATATGTATTGGCAAGCACAATATTGTTACGTCCTTTACTAGAAGTGTTGCAATATTTTGGCTATTGTGTCTGTGTGTGATGCTGGGTTGCAGTTACACACCTCATTGGATTTTGGAATATTCTCACTTCATTTCTTGATATATATTGCACATGCATGCCTATACAACTTTTGTGCTTCTTTCTTTTTGAAGATGTCAAAATATGAAATGTTGAATGTATTACAGTGCTAAAATAATTAAGGGGGTATAGAAAATGCAGCCCCAAAAATGTACATTGCATCTTAAAATGAATTTTGAAGATCAGTTTACTAAAAGTCACTACAAACCAGTCAGCCAGCTCCAGCCAAGTCTCGAAGCAAGGTCACTGTACAATAACACTGCCTTGTAAAAGATTTTTTTTGTGGCTAACAGTCCAGCCTGGATATAAACAAAGGAAAGAATTGAAAGGGTATTGCAGTGCGTTGACGTGACCATCAGGTGGCCTATGTAGATCCTGTGACTTGCTCTACCTTTATTTTACTATGCCTCTGATTTACAGCCAGTGTAATCCACAGGCTTAGCAACTATTATTAAAAATAATGCTTATGGTCATGGTGTCAGATTCTGATTTACAGGTATTGTATTTTGCAGGTGTTGTAAAAGCAGTAGAAATTTCTATTATAAATTTTCTTACCATGAATCAAACTCCTGTAACTTACTGATCTGGCAAAAGTCAGCTGTTTACAATTGAAGTGAAATGTAAACTTCTGAGAGAAATATAAATATAGGGAGGCAAAAGGCATAAATACAACAGAACACAACACACCATGCTACATATAGTGAATAACAACAACTCAAGTCATACACTGGATACCAACAACTCAGATACGAAGGAGCATCATACATTATGTAGCAGCAGGAAGAGTGGCAGTAGATGAAGAGAGTAGGGATTTTCCTCTATAGATTCAAATTGGCTTGGCTGGACGAGCACTTATAAGAACACCACAAAATTATTCTATTATGCTTAAAGGTTAAATATTGCTCAAAGTTATAATGCTTTTTACTTTTAAATGATGTATTTTAGAGGTGTATTCTGCTTTTTAATTGTGCCTTTTTAGGCTATTAGGCTCTTGTATTTTTAGAATGTAATTAAACAATTCATTTTAATATTTTTATTATACCTTTTATGGTCCTATTTTTGGACTGAATTCTGACTTAAGTATTTGCCTGCAGCCAATGTGGACATAATTAAAATTTTAAAAAATTGATTTTTTTTTTTTACAATTTAAAGAAATATATTATTATTATTAAACCGCAGAAGCCTGTGCTGCAGGGTCAGAAGACCAAGCAGTCGTAAGATCGAATCCACGCAACGGAGTGAGCGCCCGTTGCTTGTCCCAGCTCCCGCCAACCTAGCAGTTCGAAAGCATGCAAATGCGAGTAGATTAATAGGGACCACCTCGGTGGGAAGGTAAACAGTGTTCCGTGTCTAAATCACACTGGCCATGTGACCACGGAAAGATTGTCTTCGGACAAACGCTGGCTCTATGGCTTGAAGAGCGGGATGAGCACCGCCCCCTAGAGTCGGACACGACTGGACAAAAAAATTGTCAAGGGGAACCTTTACCTTTATTATTATTATTATTTATTTAAACCATGATTTTTTTTCGAGCATTTGTGCATACAGTTTTCCACAACTGTAAGACTTTTGGATGTTCTCAACAACTTTTAGGTGTTTTTGTGCATATGGAACATAAAAGTGATGTAGATAAACAAAGCTTGTGTAACTAGACAAGCTGATGTTTTCTGGAATTATTTTAACAATGAAAAGACTTATACCTTGTTATTCAGATGCATTTTTATATGATTGGAAATTATTTTCTGATTTCATTCAGGAATTAATTAGGAGATAAATACCAGCTGTGACAAACACAGATTTCTGATTTTCTTTTCCTAGAGTTCTCCTCCTATTGCCTTTTTCTTTGTATTTTTGTTTTATGTATTTTCCTTCTGGGACAAAAGAGTATGATGTAAATACTTCTTTGGGATGGGCTTAAGAAAGAGCTGTAGGTGTCCCACCTTCCCCCCCCGCCACGTGATAGCAGAAACACTCTTTCTTAGCCACTACAAATTCTGTAAACTGTTCTACCACCAGGCCGAGTGACCAAGACAAAGGATGGCCATGAAGTACGGACATGTAAAGTAGCTGACAAAACTGGCAGTATAAACATCTCTGTGTGGGATGACGTTGGGAACCTGATCCAGCCAGGGGACATCATCCGACTCACCAAAGGGTATATATCATCTTTCTGGTGTGGGTGGGTTAGGAGAACAAAAGGCTACTTCACGGGCTAAAGGGCCCTTTGGAGAAAAGAGCTAATATGTTTGGGATCTACTTGGCTACTTTGAAGCATATGTTTAAGATGACAATACAGATTACTTACCCTAAATGGTTATTCTTACCAATTTTAGGGTGATACTCTTAGTACCCTTAACAGGTACTTTTTCCACTCCCTTGATGTCGATTAAGAAAGTTTAATGGCAAAATAATATGAATCATTGTGTTACTTGATGTTAAGTTTCTTCTCTAGTAGTTTAAGTATGTGTATGTTAAAGGAGTGCTTTAGCATTGTCAACTCCCAATGAGTTTCCAAAGCTGAGTGAGGATTTGAAACAATCTCCTGAATCCTTGTCAGACACTCAATTCACCATGCAAACTGTAGACCATTACTTGGGAATAAGCTTCATTGACAGATCTTCATAGGGTTAGGATTAAATGGTTGATTTACTTCTCTCTTCCCTACCTTTTGCCTTTTTATGTTTTCTTTCAAACTTTAGTACAGAACTGAGCAGGAGGAGTAAGTTTAGATGGATTTAATCTGTGGGAGAAAATTATCATCTTATAAATAAGAGTTGTCAGGGTACTCAAAAGAGATGTAAAAAAAGTACTCACAATAATTTTTTCATAGGTCATGCTTTGCCTTTAGAAATGTACAAATTATTTGCTGTTAACTGTTGTCTGTTTGTGCCAGGACAGATATGTTGTTGTTGTTTAATCATTAAGTCGTGTCCGACTCTTCGTGACCCCATGGACCAGAGCATGCCAGGCCCTCCTGTTTTCCACTGTCTCCCAGAGTCTGGTCAAATTCATGTTGGTCACTTCGATGACACTGTCCAAGCATATCATCCTCTATCGTCCCCTTCTCCTCTTGCCTTCACACTCTCCCAACATAAGGGTCTTTTCCAGAGAGTTTTCTCTTCTCATGAAAAGGCCAAAGTATTGGAGCCTCAGCTTCAGGATCTGTCCTTCCAGTGAGCATTCAGGGTTGATTTCCTTCAGAATTGATAGGTTTGTTCTCCTTGCAGTCCAGGGGACTCTCAAGAGTCTCCTCCAGCACCACAATTCAAAAGCATCAATTCTTTGGTGGTCAGCTTTCTTTATGGTCCAGCTCTCACTTCCATACATTGCTACTGGAAAAACCATAACTTTGACTATGCGGACCTTTGTTGGCAAAGTGAGGTCTCTGCTTTTTAAGATGCTGTCAAGGTTTGTCATCGCTTTCCTCCCAAGAAGCAGGTGTCTTTTAATTTCGTAGCTGCTGTCACCATCTGCAGTGATCATGGAGCCCAAGAAAGTGAAATCTGTCACTGCCTCCATATCTTCCCCTTCTATGTCCCAGGAGGTGATGGGACCAGTGGCCATGATCTTAGTTTTTTCTGATGTTGAGCTTCAGACCATTTTTTGCGCTCTCTTTCACCCTCATTAAGCGGTTCTTTAATTCCTCTTCACTTTCTGACATCAGAGTGGCATCATCTGCATAACTGAAGTTGTTGATATTTCTTCCAGCAATCTAATTCTATTTTGGGATTCCTCCAGACCTGCCATTCGCATAATGTATTCTGTGTATAAGTTAAATAAGCAGGGGGACAATATACAGCCTTGTCCTACTCCTTTCCCAATTTTGAGCCACTCAGTTGTTCCATATCCAGTTCTAACTGTTGCTTCCTGTCCTACATATTTGAACAGACCATTTGAGTTGCAGGACCCAATCCCTAATGATTTAAATTTAATATACAGCTGTAGTCAGAATTTAATGTTAACCCAGATTTGAAATTCTACTTCAGAGCAACTGATGGCACTTGAAAATCTCCTGAGACATATAGTGAACCCAGTTGTTCCAAATGTCTTAATCCCTGGTGAAAATACAGGCTGTGGTCACCCCTGTACGAGACCTGGGGACTTACTTAGGATGTGGTAAAATCAAGCTGCTTCATATCTGACATTTAGTTGACCATAGATGCAGGTATAACAACTACTGTCGTTTGTGTGCCTGTGACATAAGCAAACTATCACCTATACATCATACATCACAAAATGTAAGCTTTTTCCTATGGGAGGTTTGTTATCATCAAAGACAAAACAAGGGCATGAAGTTGCCTTTTGTTTTGGATGAGCAATCTGACTAGTTTCTCAGCATGCTAATTTTACCTCCATGGATATTTTCTTGCAAATAACAGTGATTACATTTGAATTAGATCAGCTTTGAATTCTCCATCTTCATAGCATTTAAATTATTTTGAGGGGGGGGGATTGGGGAAAAGAAGTGTCCCTGCATGATTAAGTTTTTCTTCACTAAACATTGTTACCAGAAACACTATTTCTGTTGGCAGAGTTCATGCTGAAATTTTTGAAAGGCTGTGCATGTAGGTGGTAACGTTTGTGTTTTCTAGTACGCTCTTGTTTCTGAATCTGATTAAGAGCGACAGCACTAAACACAAAGTTAAGTGGCTGTTGGTTTCAGAGCATCCATTTTGCTGTCTTCTGTATACAGTGGTGCCTCGCTTGACGTTAATTCGTTCCAGCGAAATCGCTGTAGAGCGAAAACGTCGCCAAGCAAAATAAAAAAGCCCACTGAAATGCATTGAAAACCGTTCAATGCGTTCCTATGGGCTAAATACCTGCTTCTCCATACGGCAGCCATTTTCGGGTGCCTGTTAAGTGAAAAATGCCTCCTAAAAACAGCGGGGAGCCATTTTGAGCAGCCAGCGGCCATTTTGAAAACCCAACGATCAGCTGTTTTGATCGTCGCAAAGCGAAAAAACCTCATTAAAACATTGTTTTGCGATCTCAAAAACATCGTCATGAAGCAGATTCGTCGTTATACGGGGTAATCGTTAAGTGGGGCACGACTGTACTAGAAACAAATAACAGCTTTAGCCTTATCTTAGAGGCAAGCTCGTGGGTACCGCACATATCTTCTGAAACCCCTTCACAAAGTTCTCTTGAGGTGCATCCATCCTTGAGGCCCTTTTCACTTGTGGTTCTCTGATGACAGGGTTGTTTCCATAAGCCAACCTTTTGTTGAAAAACTTTCAGTGGGAGTTTTTGATGTACAAGCGTTGGAAAGAGAGATTATGAGTAGATTTACTTTATTTACATACATTGTTTTCTAGAACTGTGCATGAGCCCAGCTGATTTAAATCGGAAGCCAAGCAGACTGATCTATAAAATATTGGTAGATCAGAGGTAGAGCAAATGCAGCCCCCTAAAGAGATCATTGGATTGCAATCTCCATAATTTCTCATCTTTGGCCTTGCTGGCTTGGCCTGATGGGGAATGTCGTCCACAAACATTTGGAAGGCCACATGTTGCCCATCTCTAAAGTAGATTTTATGTGGATGCATTCAGGCAGCCTGCAGAGCAGCCATTTTGTCCTGAGCACAGTGCACAACTTTTCCCTGAAAGAAGATCTTTGTGTTGCTTTTGATGATGGGTTTCTCTCTGTCAGGTATGCGTCGGTTTTCAAAGGCTGCCTGACCCTATACACTGGACGTGGAGGAGACCTGCAGAAAGTTGGAGAGTAAGGCCTATGGCTTACCCCTGTGTTGCTTTTGGAAATGGGGGTAGGGTTAAGAAGGAATACTGCTCCACAGGTTTTGACATGTGTTGAAACAATCCGTCAGTTTTTAGATAGAAGTACTAGTGACTGCTTGCTGTGCTAAATGCACTGTATTTAAGGCTTGGAACTATGGTTAGTGAACATACTAAACTTTCAGATATATTTCTTGCTTCAGAGTCCTCTACTTCAGTTCCATCCCCATGAAACAAATATTTAAATAACAATACTGGTTATTTAAATCTGCATCTAAATCTTTTTGTTGCAGACCTGACATTGAAAAGTATCAATAAAAGTACATGCATTTTGTTCAGTAATCAGATGTAAATATCATACTGCAGAGTAATCCTTGTTTTCATTGCATTCCTGGGGTTTTTATCTGCTGCTGGAATAATTACTTCTAAAATGCTTTTCTTAGAGAAGTAGCCATATTAGTCTGTTTAAGGAACAACAGCTGTGAAAGACTCTAGTTCTAAGTTTCAATCTACTGTATTGGTGTCTGGCAAATATAGGCCTAAAAGTATCAAATTCTGTACAATACTTTTTCAAGTCTAGGCCATTACAGTATTACCGCCACTAGCTAGCTTTTTGTCTTACTGCCCAGGTAGTACCTTGGTCTCTCTTATTTCCTTTCCAATCCTATAGCAGCCATTCCATCTCAGCATTGCAGAGAGAGAAAAAGAGGGATTCAGTCTGATTAGAGTTCAGTTGCAGTTGGTTCCCCCTTAAGAACGCATGTACACCACACAGCTGTAGCAGTTCGATTCCCTTTGACTGCCATGGGTCCATCCTGTGATATCTTGGGATCTGTAGTTTGGTGAGGAAGTATTTAGATTTCTTTGCAGTAGTTCAGAGATATGAACTGGATTTCTCTGACGTAAAACTAGAAGTACCTCGCCAGACTACAGAACCCAGGATTCTATAGGGGTAAAACTATAAATACAGCCATATCGGACTGCTATAAATATTCAGTGTCTGTCACATAGCAGTGGCCGTCCTATCATTCTATTTATGTTATTTCCCTTATAGCTGGTTATTGTAAACATTCTAATATTTAAACCAGGGGCTGGAGGTGTTATACATACATCCCTCTTTTAATGACTGGTGTCTGAACATGTTATATTTTTTCCTCAGTCCCTGCCTTTTTTCTATATTGGATCTCTCAGAGTAAAAGCCCAAGGGTAGGGGCTGTTTGGGGATTCTTTATTAATCTATAGTCACTTTGGGACACCGTTCTGTTGAAATTTGAGATGAGGGTGTTTCACATGCATAATGAATATTAGAGCTGCATGGGTAGAGGGAGTCAGTAATATAGTAAGGGCTGTTTTTAAAAATCTGCAATTATCTCTTGCTCTAGGTTTTGCATGGTTTACTCAGAAGTGCCAAATTTCAGTGAGCCAAACGCAGAGTATGTTGCCCAGCAGTCACAAAACAAAAATGTGAGTATAAGTATTGCTTTATTGATGTGGGGGAGGGAAATCCTTTGAAGGAAACATGTGTCACCCCTGGAGACTGTTCTTTATCTGACCACAAGGCCTGTATAGGCATGAGGAGTCTCTCTTGACAAAAAAAAGTATTCTTAAAATCCCAGTTTCCCTCTTCACCTCTCACAGCAGAGTCCTTTAAGAGCTTCTTCCTAAATTCTTTCTCTGTGACCCTCTACTCCCACTGCATCCCTCCTCTGTACATTCTTACACTTACGCTTTTTAACAGATTGCTCTTGTATTTGTGAAAGCTACAATGAAAGTTTACAATTATACAGTTTTTCAGGAAATAGCTCTATTAAGTTGCAAGTCCCAACTCTTGAGTAGGGTCCTGTACCTCTAAGAATAATACTGATGGTAGGCACGGCATCATCACAAAGAAGGGGTGAAGATTAGGGATGTACATTTTGATTATTATTTTTTTACCTACAAATCCCATAATTCTCCTTCTGAGAGTCCCAGCTACAGGACCCAGACCTTACAGATACCTACATTGTGCTCACCTGGAAAAAAGGCCCAGCTGGCAGGCTTTGTGATTTGGATAGGCCTAATTTCCACTTAGAAAAAATAAAAGCTGCCCTGATAGTTGCTAGGAAGCTGCCTTTTCAAACAGGAAGTTAGGTCTATTATAGGATTTATAGACAAAAAAAGCACATTCCTTCCTTAAGGTGGACCTAGTATGATTTTACCTTCTATGTGTCACTTAAAGGTACAAGCGTCTTTTTATGTTCTGGATTGAGTAGCCCTGCTAGGTTGCCTGAAAAGATTTTTTTCAGGTGGTGAGAAATGCAGCTTTCTTACCAAGTTGTCCATCCTTGCTTCACATTCCTCTCTCTCCCCACATTATCCTGACTGGTATGGTTATCAACATAGTTTTACAAAGACCATTTCATGTCTAAATGACTTTTGGGTCTGTTAAGTCTACATAGTCAAGAAAATGGGAACAATCTTTCTTTTCTTTCACAGGCACAGAATGACAATGCAGCCCCCACAGCCGCCCAAACTACATCAGGACCCTCTACATCGTCAGCAGGTAGGCAATTAGTGACACCTTGTAGGACTAGTGAGTTTTAGTACTTTTCTGATATAAGCAGGCCACAAGTCATCCATCAGCAGTCTCATTTGTTCAGCCATAAACAGATCTGGAAGATTCATTGCACGGCTATGTTGATTTAGCTGGGATACAGTAAATAAAATACTGATCAGAGAGTGTATCCCATTGTGATCATAATGGAACTTGTTTTTAATAAACAAGCATATGTCTGTGCTCTTTGAGCTACAATCCTGAGCATGTTTGATGGTAAGCCCCTCTGAAAATGATGGCCAGAAACCTTTTTGCAGCAGATCATTAACACAACAGTTATGATGTGCAAGTGGTTCAACATTTTTTGGGCTTGCACTGGGACCGTGGTTCCCACCTCTTGGGTAACGCAGGTGTTCTTGGACTGCAGCTCCCAGAAACCCCCACCAGCACAGCTGGTGGTGAAGACTTCTCGGAGTTACAGTCGAAGAACACCTGGGTTACCCAAGGTTGAGAACCACTGCACTAGAAGATATCCAGCACTTTGTTGCACAAGCGGAAGGCCTATTTACTCCAACAGCAAGGTGGAGATTGCTGAGCCTTCTGGGATTTGCAAGTTAAAAAGCATAGCCTCTTCCATCTGCTAGTGATTTTGCTTCTTGCAGATACAGGTTTAGAATCTGAATGTTTCAGATTAGTTCTAGGTTGCAGAATCTCAACAAGGTTACCAGCATATTAAATGGCTTCATCTCTATGGTTCTGGTGAGATTCACTTTTGTTCTCTGTTTCTGTTCTTTCTTTTTTTAGCCACTGACAACCAGAATGGCAACGGCTTGATCACCTCTGGCAGCTCCCCCCACCCGCCTGCTATCCCCACCCACCCCACCAGTGGCCGCATCACCAGAAGTCAGCCCAATCACCAGGGTGGAAGTTCCTCAGGTTCCTCCTCCAACCCAGTCAGCAATGGCAAAGAGACACGACGAAGCAGCAAAAGATAACAGGTGCAGAATGGGGAAGGGGGCCTTTTGTACCTCTTTCTCCATTGCCTGATGTGTTCTGTTTTGTTGCCTGCTGGCCAGTTCGGCAGCAGAGCAGAGGTGACACTGAGTAGAAAAGATGGATACGGGGCTGATGTTGAGACTGTGAAACCAACTCATGCGTAGCTGCTGAAGTGTACTTTTAACATGTGTTGCTTATTGGCTGAGGGGTATGGTGTTTGATGTGTTCATAATAATGTTCCAGGTCAAACTCATTACGGGATTCCCCATGTATGTATATTACACTCCCACTTTGCAGGAGATAAAACATGATCCACCTATCATTTTGCCCAATAGTATTTCATTTCTACCTGCCTGGATAAGCTTTTGTGCCATGGTCATTTATCTTTGAATTAACATCCACTTTATAAATTCTTATTGCTATTTACTACAGATTCACAGTGAAGTGGGTAAAACTACTCTGAACTGGCTGATTTTAAGATTGGGGAGAAAAGACCATTGTGTTGGAATTTCCAGAAAGCTCCTAGTTCTCCTGAGATTTCTTGCATGGTAAAGGTGTAGTTCATCAAACCAATTAGTCTGCTTGCAGAGACTTAACACAGCTACCACTTTGAAAACTACAAATTAAATTTATGCCACATTTTCCAAGCCATACTGCTATCAGTTTGAATGTCTTTTCCAGAATGAGCCAATAGGATGTCACTACAGGAATGTTTTGGTGTGTTTAGTTCATGTGTTCCATAGTATAAGAGGACAGAATGATATCTTAACAGTACAACTTTTGCCAAAGTTGACCCAATTCCTAGAAGGCCAATAACATGTAAGAAGAAATGTGTTGCTTTCTCTTATCATTGTGGCTTAATAGCCTGCACTGAATGAGATGTAAACATATTTTGAAGTGCTCTTTTATCCAGCTATGTGGCTCGTAGTCTCATTTTCTTCCTTTTTCTCTGTTCTCTACTGCAGAATAATTGTTTGAATGACTCATCCAAAGTTCCTCCTCCACCCCAAAGAAACATCACTGTTGTCTAAATCTGATGTGGCTATTTGAATGTAGTATTAATGAATGCTTTGGGGAATAAATGTTTTAATCATCTTTTTTCATGAAGATTTCTAATTAAATGTTGCCATTCTGGGGGCTGTGGATAAGAGTGTAAATAGGCTCGCAATTCTTATAGCCATAGTAATGTACTGTATTCAATTCTTCTGTTTTGGGGTTGTTGTTGGTTTTTTAAATTTGGCACAGATACCATTTATTTTTATATCAATAGTGAACAGTGGCTGGCTGATGTTTGTACATGGAAATGTAGATATCAATTGTCCTTTTACTCAACCTCTGCAATACAACTACACCTAGCTAGACTCATTAGGACAGAAACTTCACAAGTCTAAGGATGTTAGGTGTTTCTCACCTAACAGTGCCTACTCACTGAGGTGGAAAAACAAACCAACAAGGCCAGAATGACACCCTGAAATAATTTATTAGAAGAGGTGGACGAGAAAGTGACAAAACACCTTTTGTCAGCTACAGCTCCCAGCTAAAACATCATCACTGAACTATAGAGACTCCTTGGCCTAGAGCTACTTGTGCCAGCTTCTCAACAATCCCCAAGCTCCTTCAAAAACTACTGAGTAGCACCAGTAGGCCACACAAGATTACCAGTACCGGGGACAAGACTCTACAAGAACAAAACAAAGCAGCTAGATGCCAATGCTGCTCTCATGTTTATTGTGGCAACAAAACCTGAACAGTGTCATTCACAACATCAGGGGTTTGTTTGCTTGCTCACCTTTCAGTTTGATAACATGGTATCTTCTGCTACCGGTGCCCTTATATGTTCTACATAGAGGACACAGGCCAGTCTCCAGCAAAAGAATAAACAGATGCTCAACTGGGATAGGAAATGACAGTATGCAAAAAACAAACGTTAGTCCAGCGGTGTCATGAATTTTAAAGTTACTAACCTGCTGTGAAGCAAAGAAACTTCAGTGAGACACTGCTGGGTTAGAGGTTTGACTTTCACCAGAAAGTTGTTTGACGGAGTCTTAGTACATTACATGTTATTATTTGGGATATTTAATACCAGGATGTTTGTATTCTCAGCATCAGTTTTGTGAACAAGCAGTATGAATTATGCAATAGCTTCTGTCATTATTTTCTGTAATTTCCTCTCAGTCTATGGTCCTACTTGCAACCACATATATTGTTGTTGTTTAGTCGTTTAGTCGTGTCTGACTCTTTGTGACCCCATGGACCAGAGCATGCCAGGCCCTCCTGTCTTCCACTGCCTCCCGGAGTTGGGTCAAATTCATGTTGGTTGCTTCGATAACACTGTCCAACCATCTCATCCTCTGTCGTCCCCTTCTCTCCTGCCTTCACACTTTCCCAACATCAGGGGCTTTTCCAGAGAGTCTTCTCTTCTCAGGAGATGGCCAAAGTATTAGAGCCTCAGCTTCAGGATCTGTCCTTCCAGTGAGCACTCAGGGTTGATTTCCTTTAGAATGGATAGGTTTGTTCTCCTTGCAGTCCAGGGGACTCTCAAGAGCCTCCTCCAACACCACGATTCAAAAGCATCAGTTCTTCGGCGGTCAGCTTTCTTTATGGTCCAGCTCTCACTTTCATGCATCACTGTTGAAAAAACCATAGCTTTGACTGTGCGGACCTTTGTCAGCAAGAGGTGATGTCTCTGCTTTTTAAGATGCTATCGAGATTTGTCATAGCTTTCCTCCCAAGAAACAGGCGTCTTTTAATTTCGGGGCTGCTGTCATCATCTGCAGTGATCATGGAGCACAAGAAAGTGAAATCTGTCACTGCTTCCGTATCTTCCTACATACAGTATCTGCATTAGCAGACAACACTCCCTGCATCCAGTAAAATGGGCTATAACATTTATGGAATGACTTGCTATTTTAGTTTAAGGTGCTGCAAAAACAAAACAAAACCACCTTCTACTGTAAAAACTAGAACTGCCCCTTTGGAAATCCTTGCAAGGATAAGCCAGTAACAAATTAGTGGTGTTCAGTTCTGTTTCTAGGATATTTTTAGTGCTTCCCTCTTTCTTCCACTAAGGGACAGCTACCCGCAATAAACAGTGGAAAAATCCAGGATCTAATTGGACATTACAACTATAATGGTCATTGTCCCGTTCACAATAGATGAAATAATGAAGATTTGGCTTTTTTAAAATTAAGTGTACAGTGCGTGGGAGAAAATTGCACGCGAGTTCTCCCGCTCTCGACTCCTCTCCACACTACAAAAATAACTTCCATAGTAGGCGTGAAATAAAAGTATGAGATCGCCTTGTTGAAGGCAGGATGTATGCAATGCTGAGGGTGCAGATAGGGACGGAGACATGAGAAGTCCACTTCAGCCACTTGCAGGCAGACAGGCACATCGTACTGTATTTCCTTCCCATTCTACGGAGATGGGCGGATATGCCAGCCCCTAGTAGAAAGGGCGGCCATCCCTTGCCTTCTCCGTCGAGTAGGGGGCAGCAGCCCGGAAAAAGGCGGGAGGCTTAAGATACCTCCCGAGAGGTGGGGGTGGGTGGGGGAGAGAGAGCGCTTAGACACGCCAACTACTGTATTCCCATTCGGCCCGCTGCCGTCTTCTCACCTAGCTCCGCCCATCTTAGAGCGCGCCGCGCTGTTCGCCACGCGACCCGAGGGGGCCTCGAAGGGTCCTAAGGCGAGTTTTAGTCGTTCAGCCAGCGCCTGAGTCTGGCGGAAGATAGTTTTCTGAGGCTGTGGAAGGAAGGTGCCGGAAAAGGTGAAAGCGGAGCAAGGGTAGGGCTTGGGTTGTCTTCTTTGTCGGGCGGCCGAAGAAATGGACTTGGAGAGGCAGGCGAACAGGCAGATGTTAGCCGCCTATTGAGGCTTGGAGCTTGGAGGAGCTGCTTTAGTCGGCACTGAGTTGGGGATTCAGGCTGTCTCTGGTGTCGCTGTGGGAGGAGGAGGAGGAGGCGGTGAGCGACGAGAAAGGGGAGCAGAGAGCTCGGAAAACAGGGCGACCTCGGGTGGAGAGCAACGCTGGCGGGCGGCATTTATTAAAATAGGGGTAATATAGCCTTTAGCAGTGGGCGTGAGAAAGTCCTTGGTTTAAACCTCCTTTCTGCCACGTACTCCACTGGCTGGTCTTAGTCAAAGCCACTATGCAGTCAGCTCCAACTCCCTACCTACAAACTGTGGATATATAAATAATGAGTTGCCTCATGGGCTTGTTGTAAAGATTACGGAGATACAGTGCGCGTGTGAAGTGCTTAGCACACCCGAAGAGCTGATAAATGCCACTGCTGTATAATAGTATATATAGCATTACAGTACCTTTCCCAACTTGATGTCCTCTGTAGATGTGTTGGACTACAACTCCCATTGCTCCGGGCCACATGGCCAGTGGAAGGTATCAAGTTGAGGAAGGTTGGTACAAGATGCAGGAGCATCGATATGTGCAGGGATTTGGAATCTCATGTTCTGTTGGTGGAAGATGAGAGGTAGAGATGCTGTTGACTAAACAATGGAATACAAACTAGAAACAGTAGAAAATGTATATATTTCAAGTGATCTTTTAAAGTAGAATCCATTCCTTTAGTATCATATATCCTGAACCTGCCTCCAATTTGTTTTTGTCTCAGCTACACCGTATACAGTAGTTCTCATGCACCTCATAAAAAAATCATACAATCTTGTGGCTTTATTAAGGTGTGTTACTAGATTTGGAAATTGAAGCTACAGTATATCATTTCCGCTTTTTCCCTTATTGGACCACGTGGCAAGTGGGGGGAACCAGCCCTCCTTCCAGACTGAGCTACCACAGAGATCCTTCTCGCATCCAAAGGCACTTGAGCTAGTCAAATTTGGATTCTGTTAACTCTAGTGAGAAGTATGGCTAATTTTCTCTGGATCAATACCAGCATTTCTGCTGTTTCCAGTGGCACTATGTTATGAATGCAAATATGTCCAGGAAGTACATTGTGTACTGTTAACAAGAAGACAAAGGAAGGAACAATCTGGAATTGCTTTATCAATGCAGGAGAAGGTATAAATCTGTGAAAGATTTGGTATGATTTTAGAAAATAATCTTAAAATACTCTCAGAAAAAATATAGAAAAAAAATCAAATGATCCCCTGTACCCTTAGATGGAATTGGTTGCAGAGCTTCAAAATGTGGACCAATATTACATGAGAGCCGGCTGTTTGTTGGATTAAAGGTTCAACCCTACGCAAGTTCGTTGGCCCCTCTTTGTCAGAACAGTGGCTGTGTCCCTGGACTGGAGCAGTTTGGATCTGATAATTTGACTTTCTTTTTGCACTACCCCTTCTCTGTCACTTTTTTGACTCTTCTGTTGGTAGATCTTGATACTTCTGCCTCCCATATCTGTGAAAACAGCTAGAAAAACAGGGTTCTCCTGCACAAAGGCACTTGTAACAGCTAAAGAGGATATTATCTATTCTTGGTACCTTCCAGTGGGTGCATCTTTAACATTGCACTGACTGCAAAGATAAACAATATTAAAATGGTTTAAGCATCATTGAGTGGGACCTTTGGGTAAGCATGCATAAAACTATGCTGTTGGACATTTTGGATCTATTTATATCAGCATTTTGGTGTGCAGTTAAAAATAAATCACTTTGTTGTAACAATTGATATAAAATATATTCGGTCCCCAGAAATGGCTGGAATTGAAGTTGGAGAGTTAGTGTTGCAGTACACAAACCTTCATAGCAACTGTAAAAAGTCAGTCTCCTTAGTATAATTACAATTCATGTTGGTTCTACCATTGTTATTCCATGGCAGAGATTCTTACAAGTTTCAATGGAATGGATGTGAATATCAATAGAAGCTAACACCTCGCACATTTTGCAGGTTTCTAACCAATTATGCAGTATCTGTATTTTGATGCCATGTATACATGTATAAAAATGTGCTATGTTATATCTCTCTTTTATGTCTGAGGAAGTGGATTTGTCCACAAAAGCTCACATCTAACTATAACAATTAGTCTTTAAGGTATCACAATATATTTTCTTTTTTATTTGTTCTTTTATTTATTTTTTCTGTCTGTAACACATAACTATGCCAGTGAGAAGTACTCAGATGGCTTGTTGGTAGTGTGATATCTATAACTTTGAGGCGGAAGTCATTGCAGTTATTCTTTTGCACAGTCTCTGTGTAATTGGACACAGAGCATTCTTTTATAAAAATACATCGTTTGGGGTGCATTCTGTGCCTATATGAATCCACACTAGGTATGTTATGTTTAATGTCTCCTTAATTTAACAGATGCTTGAAATAAAGCAGCTTGGCATTAAAGACACATTTCCCTATTCAAGGTACTATATGTTCATGTTTAATTACAACTGGCCAGATAAATGTTGTGCTACATTTTTGTTTTAATTGCTGATACACTTATTTGTAAGTGCTCATGAGCATTAGCATCTATTTGTCTATTACTGGACCAGAACCAACCTAGTGAACGTGGCAGTGAGAGCTCATCATGCTGTTGAAGCATGGATCTAAGGTCCATTTCAACTGGTGCAGAATCAGGATACCCTTAAGAGATAAAACAGTTGTGGGAGCTTGAGATTGATAGTCCATGTAGGATTTTATTTTCCATTGAAGTCTCAGAGCCAAGTTACACAGTAAGCAAAATTGTCTAGTAAGACTTAAAACTGCAAGTCGAGGGGCAATGTATGTTTTTGGAGCGTTGTAGAGTTTTTAAAACCCAGGCAAAAACCTCCTATGTAGAATGCAAACATTCTGAAATGATATTATAGCCTTATTCCCACTCTAGCTTTTAATGTATCTATCCTGAAAAGGCAGTGCTTTCTATTTGCACTTGGGAGTTTATCTCGTCCTAAACATTCTATAGGTAACATGTTGCTTTCTCTCCTGGAGTGTAAATGGTGGAAGGATACTCCTCATAATTTAGAAAACCAAGCTTTTGATCAGCAGCTAGGGTCCAAAAAATTCTGGCAGCTAGGATCCAAAAAATTATAAGAGCATGAAAGTTTGAGAACACACAAAACATCTGTAGGCTTAAATTCAAGGTATAGAGTGTAAATATTTCCTGACGCTTGTGAGGTATTCCAGCCTATACTTCTCTGCTAGCCAGGGTAGATAAAAATCAAATTGATTTAAATCACAGTTTTAATTTTTAAAATGTGATTTTTGATTTAAGTCATTCACTTATGGCTGAATAAATACATGTCACGTGAAGTGGTGGTGTCTGTTCATTGGTATAACGAACAGATATAATGCTAGCAAATATCACATGTCACGTGAAGTGGTGGTGTCTGTTCATTGGTATAAAGAACAGATATAATGCTAGCAAATACTGTACCTCAAAGAGACAGGGAGGCATCAGGGCACCAGCAGTAATTGCTGCTTTTGGACTGTTCACAAGGAGCCCTTTGTATTCTGAACCTGAGCTTCAGCAGAAAAAGCTACCTTTCAAAGTGTTGCTCAGCACAGAAAGTTGCACTGTGAAGCAGATGTTGGACTGTTTGTGGGTGGCTAATATACATATTTCTGTGTTTGTGGGAGGTTAGGGTGAGAGTCAGAGGGACAGAAATGGTGTGCCTTCAGCCTTGGAGGAGCCAGCTTGAAATACGGTAACTTCTGCAACTTCTGAACTTCTAAACAGGCTGTGGTGCTTGCCAACACCCACAAAAATGAAGGTCTGGATTTCTAGCAAAGTCTGCCAGTCCATTATCCTCTTGCTGTTGCTGAGTAGTGCTTTTGCCCGGAAAAGCCAGGATCTCCACTGTGGAGGTAAACTGTTTTTTAACTATTGGCATAACTAGGGGGTTGTGGGGGGCAGGGTAGGGAGAGACCTTCAGAAAAATATGTAAACAGCAAAACTAGATTGACTGTGTTAGTGCAGCTTTGCAGACCTAAGTTTTCTCTGTTTTTTGCTTTTAGCATGCCGTGCCCTGGTGGATGAGCTGGAGTGGGAAATTTCTCAGGTAGACCCCAAGAAAACTATCCAGATAGGTTCTTTTCGAATCAACCCAGATGGTAGCCAGTCCATTGTAGAGGTAAGAGATTTCATGCTTGCTTTCAATTGGTCAAGAATATGGATATTCTTGTAACTCTGGAGGGTTTTAGTCAGGAAGATGGTTTTGAGAGATGGGGGAACCTTGACCTATGATTGCAAACTAGAGAAAGTCAAAGAAGAATTCACCTCCTGGTGTCTGGAAGGTCTCTGCCTCCAGTCTGAATGGAAGCTGTTTGTTAGAAAAGGTGTTCCTGTGCCAGAGGAAAAGAGATTTGTGTCCTGTGTTCCATGAGTGTATGAAAAGAAAGTGGAGGGGGGTGGCAGTTCATGGCAAATGCACCATTATTGCTGAAAAACTCAAAACACATTGCAGTAACTAAAGCTATAGTATTATATAGTAAACTGCATATAATAGTATAAAAACTAAAGGGACACAGTCAGATTAAAATTAATACAATTTAAGAGAAAAAAGTAATATAAATTTTGCCCATACTTCTAGAAAACTGCTTGAACAGATTAATTTTTTATTCCTTCTTAAAACTAAGAGGACGGCTCACTACCACCTCTTGCTAAGGCAGCCCATTCCAGAACATTTGAGATGTCTATGGCTGGAAATATCCTGCTTCTCCTACTAGCTGTTTCATATCACTCTGATGAGTCCCTATTATCGAATAATGAAGAGTTCCATTCCAGAATTTCAAACATGATCTTTTAAAAAAATTTCAATATTTGTTATTTGAAGAGTCATGCATTACTGATATTCACTATGTTTAAAACTAATATTTTTAGTGCAGATAAAAAATTACAAAAATGGTCCTTAAATGAGCAGTTTTTTAAGGGCAGTAAGTAAATGTAACTTATTACACTGAAAGAAAAATAATTGTGTTACTTTTAACCTGTTATGTCTAAACTCTTCCCACACAGGGATTGAAGTTTGTCTGATACAGATTCCAGGTTGATAAGGATTTAAAGATCAGAACCTAAACTAGAGATGTGTTTGCTAATAGAAGCAGAGATATTGTGAAAGAGAGGAAATAAGGAACACTATGAAAGAGTCATCTCTATGAAATCTATGACTAGGGGTTGGGCCTTCTTGGTGGTGGCCACCACACTATGGAATTCATTGCCAGTGGAGGTGTGCCAGGCCACTGCTAGCATTCAGAAATTCACTCAGAACACACCCGTTCAGAGAAGCCTTTCTAGATACCTTCCATACACAATGGCCTATTATATTATATATTTTAATTTTATTTTGACTGCTGTTGCCACGAGGGAATATTTGGGGTTATTTTTCTTTGACTGTAGTACAGTAGTTGGGTTAGGGGGTGGGTGTTTTTATGTTTATATCTTTATAAGCCACCCAGAGTTGTGGCATGTCACTAGATGGACAAGGTAAATGAATAAATAAAACAATAGCAGGGAGCATGGAATGAGGACTTCCAGTTTTTTGTTCTTCACCAATGGAAGACTTTAAAGGGTTCAGTGGGCAGGGGGATTTCTATATTAGTTTACTGTATACCTAGCTTCAGGAGTAAAATAGGAGTTTTGTGTTTTTGTAGGCTGCTGTTGATATATTCCTTTTTTTCTTTTAATGTTTGGCAATGAGTTAAGGGAATTAGTTTGGTATCCTCTATTTAATACAATCACAACATGACTAGCCATTCTTTGGAACACATTCCATGAGACTTGACTAAACTTATCAGTCTCAGGCTATACTTCTGGTTATGAATGTTGCCCTTCTCTCCAGGAAGGGTGGGGCTTTTGCCCTCCGCTTATGAAGGTGCATTTCTTCTCCCACAGGTGCCCTTTGCGAGGTCGGAAGCTCATTTGACGGAATTGCTGGAGCGCATCTGTGAGAAGATGAACGATTATGGTGAGAAGGTGGATCCATCCAATCACCGGACAAGATACGTGAGGGTGATATCTCATGATGGAACCAAGATGGACCTTTCTGAAACGAAAATTGATGGTGATGTGACATCAAGCCTAAAGTTTGTGGTGAGTAATACAGGGAGCAAAGCTACATCTGTACATTTTGGCTACTGGAAAAAGGAAACTTCTCTGTTGGATTTTCCTGGTTGCAATCTTTCTTCTAGACAGACTTGTAGCTTGTAGTGGATTGTGGTGGGGCAAATAAGCTATAACCTGCTTGTGGCCTTTGGCTGCTCCAGGTGTGGTTCCCCTCTCCTCCTCCTCCTGCTTTTCACTTGGTCTGGTTGGGGTGGGGAAACCTCCTCCTGCACTGCAGTGGCAGCACTCAGCAACTGTCTCAAGAGAGGTGAAAGCCTCTCCCAGCCCCCCCAATAATGCCTCTTCAGAAATCACTCTTTTTTCCTGCAGCTCTTTTCCTTTTGGTGGTGGGGAAACAGTGGTGTCAATGGTTGCATGACAGGCAATAGGGGCAGGCCAGATGATAGCTTTTCCAAATTCACAGGAGTCCTGCTCATGAAGCCACTCTTTTCTTGCTGGTACAAAACTCTTGGTGGTAGAGACTCTTAACTCCTCACTTTCTCTCTTTCTCAAAACCCCTTGGTCACAGGGGCAGGGGAGGAAGACTTTGAATTCTGGGATATCTGTGGTAGACATGCTGGAGGAAAGAGGGTACCTGTGTCGTTCCCTGAGGTGTGTGGACAATACACACGCAGGTATAGGCTCCCCACTCCTCAGCTGACAATGGATGTGTAACCCTTAGGGGCTAAAAAGTTTATACATCCCTTTTTTTGTAACAAACAGCTGACTCCCCAGTTATAGTGTTACAGTCACAGCCATAATTTTTGGACTGCTTCATGTTGAATAAGATGCATTGGGGAAGTGGACCACCAGTCACCTAAGCATATAATTATTTTTTTCATGGGATGTTTATATTTGTTTTTTATAAACAATGAATGGGGGCCCACCCAAGGAAAGAGCGAGAAGAGGGTAGAATAACAATGTGATAGTGGCTGATGGGGAGGACTACCTCTCTTACACAGATTGACCCCATATGAATTATAAGTGGCCTCCTTTCTACAGCTTTTCAGAGTACCTCGTTACGTTAGCCCTGGATTTGGTCTGCCATTAGTGGCGACTTGGCTTCACCTTGCTCCGAATTGTTGGGATGGAAGGCAGAGAAATTAAAATGCCGGTTCCTTTGGTTTTTCTGTGCAGTGCGAGAGCATAGTAGAAGAGTATGAAGATGAACTCATAGAATTCTTCTCCCACGAGGCAGAAAACGTCAAGGACCGACTATGTAGCAAACGAACAGGTATGCCTGAGATCAGTAGGTGTAGAAGTGGGCTTGGTCAACATTCTCAACAGATACGATAGACAATAGACATATAGTACTACCTATGTGCGTGAAAGGGTAGGATCTGTGATCTGTCAGTTCCAATATTGTCCCAAACCATAGTCAGCGGAACCATGGTTTGTAAACCCATCTACAGACTGTGATTTGTGATTCTGATTTACAAGTTGATTGTAAACTCTAGGTTATTACTTCAGACCTCAGCAGTTAATCTTCAGTTCTTTAATGTGATGTCTGAAATGATTGCAATTAATTTAAATGGTTTAACTTAAGGATAGATTAGCCATGTGAAAGGGAGGACAGGAAACTTGTACTGTACTTGTAATCATTGCAACAAGCTACACTTACTGAAATTTTACTTGGCCTGTTACGGGATTAATCGGTTTTCAATGCACTGTAGGTCAATGGAGACTTGACTTACAGACTTTTTGACTTGAGAACCACCTTCCAATACGGATTAAGTTCTCAAGTCAAGACCCCACTGTACTTGTAATCATTGCAACAAGCTACACTTACTGAAATTTCACTTCCACTCAGAGATTAAAGGTATAGAAATCCTACTCTCTGTGTCATCAGATCATCCCACTAAAGAGTGGTGTAGAGATATACTAAATAGGGCAAGCGAATTTTGTAGAATTGCTGCTTTCTGTGTCACAGTTTGCTGCCTCTTGGGGCCAGACAAGGCTACATCTCTTTAAGAGCTGATGAGATGTCCCACATTCATGTGAAAGGGCACTGTGATTTGCATCTTGTCATTTTAGTCACCACCTGCAGATTCCTGTTCCCCCCCGCCGCCTTTTAATTTCTTTCTTTCTCTGTGGATTTTTACTTTTGCCATTAGAAAATCAACATGTGGCCAGTTGGCAGCGTGCCATTGAGGAAACTGGCTCTTCCTGTAGTTCTGAGCTATTTTCGGACTACGAACCTGACAGTGCTGGTTTCCACCTCACCTTTGCCCTCTCGTGTTTGAGGACTGGAGCCATGCCATCACAGGACAGTCAAAGTGCAGCACCTATTCCTGTCCATCCGCACAGTGTGTGGGACTTCTCACTAGCCATTATTTCTGTTTCATAATAGGCCTTGTGTAGTATCCAGCCAAGGAATTAACACACAAATCCGCCTGATTTCTGCTAAATGCTGACTTATCCAAGAAGTCTGGACAAAGTCAGTTCTTAAGAATCATGAATACTGTTACAGATCAACAAGATGAGGCCGGCAGCTGCTTGTGACTTGCCAGAAAGCCCTTAATAACTGGCTGGCAGCCAAAGCAATGGCACATTCACCTGCTGTATCCCTAGAGCAGTTTGCCAAAGCTGTTGGGATTGCATGGCTGGTCTCATGATTTTCATACTGATTAGAAAGATAAGTTAACCCTGTGCACTTGAAAGACTCCAGAGCAATTACTGAGTCATTATTGCCCTGATTTTCTACCTAAAAGAAGGAATGGATTTTTCTAGCACTAAGTATTATCTGGAGTGGAAAAGTTGCTTGAACTAAACTGGACTTCAAGAAGAAGAGTCAGAATGACAGAAATATTTCAGCGAGGAACAATTCACCTCATGTCTTGAAATTTACACTATCTGTAACCCACCAAAATCTACGCAGCCCTCTCCTAGCTGTATATGGTGATCAGTCACACACTCAAGTTGTTTTCCTGGGCTTTAGAAATACATGGATGTGAACAAAACCATTTGTATACCACAGTAGGTAACCAGCCTCTGGATTAGCAGGCCACAGATTGGACAGGTGTAGCATTAAGAAATACATGGTTAATTGAGTACAAGAGACAATGACATTGCCAGTCCCATAGCAGTTTTCATAGGGGGAAAATCTATGCTGATTAGAATAGGCTAATTTGGGGTAAGAAGAGGAACAAATGCTTAAAAATTGTTGAGGGTCTTGCTTGAAAGTATGAATGCAAATATTTTATTGCTTCATAGCTACTCAGGCTGTACCCATAAATAGGAATGAAAATAGTATACAGTACATATATAGTAAGAAGCACAAGCTGTGAAAAAGGCAGAAAGTACAGAGAACTCTGCTTTTTATCTTTTGAAATTTTGCCCTGTGACAATTCCTTGTGATTTAGAGTACCTCTTCCAAATCTGGCCACCCATTTTCAATCAAAAGTTGCAGCAAAATCTGATGTTTTGCTTAGATTAACAAAAATATTTAGTTTGTTCTGACATTTAGGAAATTCTTTCCTCTGTTGTGGGGTTCCATAACCTGTTGTTCTCCAAGTATGCTAAGAGCCAGTTAACATATCAGTTGGCAGTGGTAGTTCGGCATGATGGGTTTTGTACTCTAACATACTTGGAGGGTGCCAGATCAGAAAGCTGGTCTATTCTATGTTGTGATAAGTTCCTATATTCCGAGGAGTTATTCAGACTCAAGAACTGCTCGTTTCTGAGCAAGGTGAATGACGATAGCCACTAGCCTTTGTATTACTGCTCTGATATAGTATTGAGTAAGCTTTCATCAGCCATCTTGTCTAGCTAGAAGTTCTGGTTCATGTAATAAGGTGACCTGTTTTGTGTTTCTCTTGTAGATCTTTGTGATCATGCCTTACATATCCCACATGATGAACTATGAAACACAAGAGGCTTGACTGGCTTGGTGGATGAATTTGCTAGTCCTTTGTATACCACCCCCTTTTTTCCAGCTCCTTTGAATATTCTCCCAGCACCCTTCTTTCTGTTTTGAGAAGAACATTGTAAAATTTGGGAACATGAACTGGGGCCTGTGGCACAAAATGTCAGCAGATTTCTTCACAGACTTCTATGAGGAAAACAAAAGATCCCATGTGCATCGCTTGAAACCTGCCGTTATAAATTCTTTATTTTTTTTAAATGAAGAAAAAAGAGAGACTTCAATTTTAGAATGGATCTTCATTTTTTTCCCCTACCGCATAGACAATGTTTATGTGGTAATGCTTTAATACTTTGTGACTGTATACAGAGGCATTGATTTGTAGGCTGAATTAGGAGACCAGCAACACAACCCAATGATTCCATTCCAGAACTGGAGTAGCAGAGCTTTATAAGTTCTGTTATGACTTTGTTTACCATCTTACTGTGACATTGAGCAAGTTATTTCATTTATCTAAGCCTTCTTTGATAGAAGAAGGAAGGTTCCATGATGATACCCACATAATGAGTCCAAAGAGGCAGTAGCTGTAAGGAGGATCAGTTTCTAGTGTCTTCAAAACAAGCACAAGTTACTGGACAGAATGGTTCCTGTCCAGTAACTCTTCCATGTCGCTAGTATAATATATAGACTGGTTACCACTTGAGTCATTTGTGTTTTGTGGAGGATCTGTGTACCATGAGAGTGGCGTTTAGGATTGGTCACAGATTTGCAGTGTTACAGGAACGTCATTCAAAGCAGCTGAGCTAGGTAGCAAGCCAGCCTATATACAGTACAATGACTGGAGAGCAGTTATCACATAGAAGCTGTTTGCCAACCTCCACAGCAATTAATAGAATGATTCTTGGTGATGAAGGCTGGTGTCTGACTTCTAAAATCCATGCATGTGCTGATTTGGAACATCAAGCATTTGGAGAGTTGGATGGTGGGGTCTATTCATCAAAGGGCTTAAAATATTTAATATTTTTTCTTTTTAACACTGTTTTCAAGTACATAGATCACAGATCTGTCAGTGACAGCAAGAAAATAAATCATGCTATTATTGAGTTGATAAACTGGAACTCTGTTTACAGTTTCCTTTAGTTTGTGCTGCATCATGTGTGAAGTTAATAATGCAAAACTGGTGGAGGTATAGTCACATAAGGCCCCTCTCTTTTTATTTGGTAAGGCTGCAGTCCATTTCTTTATAGCTGACTCTTTTTACTGGATCTAGATGTCTAGTAGACAAGATGAAATGGAAGATACCAGATTTCGAAGCCCAGATTAGAGGGAGCGTACGCATAGACTAGAAGGAGAAAGTTGTGCTTAAGAACTTAGACAAAGAGTGAACAACTTGTGACTCTTTAAATTTTGTTGGATGAAATTTCTCACCATTGCTCATCATTGTCTATGTTGCTTACAGTAAGTTGCAATCCAACAATATGTGCAGGTTCACAAGTCTTCAGAATGCATACCTTACCTGTACGTAAGGAGTTCAGGACAAGGCTGATGAAGAAATGGCAGAAACAATTATTGCCTTTTGTCATTTTGAAAAGAGGAAGCATCCAATGGATTTCATTTACAGTGCCTTTGATTACGGATTTACTCTACAATGGGTGACATAGTTGAGAAACTCAGCTGTGACAAAATAGTGAATGTAGGGATAAATCCAGTTGTTAGTTTCAACTAGACTTAGGCCCATTTAATTAGTAGAAGTTGTTAAATCAACACTTCTGTAAAACCTGTTGATTCCACAGGTCTACTTTAGTTGGGATTAACGACTGAATTCAGATCATAAGCTCTTGTGTTAGAACAGAGTGACTTAAAATTCTTGCTCAGTCATGAAGCTTAGTGGATAATTTGGGGCAGGACATATCTCAGTGCAAGCTACCTTGCCAGGTTAAGAGCTGCTCAAAAGATAATAAAAGAGTATGTTTAGAGGGATTCCAGTTAGTGAAATTTTCTTCTCTTTTTGGTATGTGGCAGTTTTTAGAAACTGTGAAACTTTTTGATGGCCAGGACATAGTGGTATTTGGGGAAAGAGTTGTAAAAATGTTAATGCTTTGTATTATACTTACTGCCTGGTATGTATGAACACAGTAAAAGCACATGGCAGGTTGGATAGGGATGAACCCCTCCACTTGTTTTGCAGATTTACCATAGAACTACCTGTAAACTAAAACTACCATTTGGATGTGCAAGGGATTAAAAAGATGAAGAATAATAGATATTAAGAAGAACATTACTTAATGTAAAAAGAATTAATCTGGCTAAGGAAAAACACCAAAGCAACTTTATCTGGCCGCTTTTCCCCTTGTAGAATGTTTGTTTGTTTGTTTGTTTGTTTCTTTCTTTCTTTCTTTCTTTCTTTCTTTCTTTATTTAT